AAATGACCATTCCTGTCGCAGAAAGGAAATACTAATGGCAGGATAAATGATTGGTACAGCAGCTGTAGAAATCATCTGCCACAGTTCAAAACGAAACGACATTAACAAATGGTAAAAAGACTGAAATATCCCTTTAATTATGGTCGCAAAGCCGTGGAATCTGAAAATGTTAAAACGCCATTTTGCCGAATGCTTCACCATCTCCTAGGTAATGAGTATTTCCCGCCTTTAAGCCATTCAAATATTGACTTAGATCGAGCACTGCATTTAAACACACTTCTCAAATCAGTATACATTTTAATAACATCGGTATAACATGAATATATAATAATTTCCATAAGTGATTTCATCGGCTTTATTATGAAACACCTTGATTGATTCATCGAAAGCGTGTTTTCTGGACCTATTTTTGCTAGAATAATACAAGTCGAGTTTTCTTCTCCAAAGCAAAACATTGGTTTGTCCAAGAACCATTATATAGAGATTGCTTGAATCAAAAGATTGAGCATTTGGAAACGGAAAAATGTATGAACGCAATCAAATTAGCCAATCTGGTGAATCACTGCTACGGATGATTCAGCTCGTATATTGCAGGACCTTTTCAGGGTGGAGATTATTTAAATTCATTGGGAGGGGGGGAATAGATTCTTCATCGCCCGAATCGTCGAAGAGCTTACTTCGAATAAAACTCTTCTTGGACAACACCCCAACATTTCGGAACGAGCTGAGTCCGTGTTCAAGGAACAACATGCAGCAATAAGTGCGAATAACGGTTTTAACGTCATTGCATACTGTCGATTGATCTCAGGGTTTAAGCACCATCAGCGAATTGGTTATATGTACTATATTTCAAGAAGATGATCGAGTCAGGCATGACCCAGTCTTGATCTTCATCATCAACCCCTTCGTTTCTTTCTTATAGAATTCCGCCGTCTTTGTTCAGAAATTCGCATGTCTGTATCAGCAGTGCATCTTTAATTTTCCTCTTCCGACAGTTTCTTTCGCCATACCACTCTCTTTGTTTCCTAGTCAACGATATGATTCTTTTTCATAATGTGTTCAGTCAGTGTGAAGTTTCTTTTGCACTCTTTTTGTACCTCTTCAGTTCCTTCGACTGTTTTTTCCCACGTCATTTCAGATCTTGTTTATGTTCTTGTAGATTGCATGTTCCATCGTGAGTGCATGATGATCTCTTACCATCTTCGATCCTTTTCACCGGTGTCTTAAATGTATGCAACTGTGCAGTCGAATGGAATAGCATAGTTTCAGATTTGTTTCTGCTCATGCGTTTCACTGATTTGCACATGAGTACGCTGGCTGCGAGGAGTGATTGATATCAGCCCCAAGAAGCAACCTCACTTTTCTTGCATTTTACGTTTCATTGATGAGTTTTGCTGAATAATCGCTCTGCCCCTCTTATTTTGTACCGTGTAACTTATGCTCAATTTCTAAGCATCCGCGGTCTAAGGTGTTAGCGTGCCCTGTTTAACTCCCTGGGAATACTTGGGGTTACAGGACAAGAAAAGCACATTAGGGCAGCTGTGCTAGATGGAGATTCGTGGGATTTTAGCACGTCTAAAAATGATGAGAATTTGTTTTCTTTCTTTATTACCATCGTGAAGGAGTATCGGTGGTACAGAAAGAGGTTTTCCGTTCATTTTCAGCTGGCAAACAGCGTCCAACAACAATAGACACTTCATGGCGTATCTTTACTATCGACGGTCACAGACGTCGCAAGTTGTCCGTTAGCGAGTTAATGCCATGGAAAATTGTACATTACAGATCTAACCTAACGCATGCCATAAATATACTGGATTTACAGGATTTAATTAGTATTTTTTTCCAAATTTAATTTTTTTTAATTTATTCAAAAATTTTAATCTACATTGCATGAAGATTCCGTATCAAGGCTTTAAAAGTTGGACAGTAAACTGCCATAGGCAAAAGCTATTTTAGTACATTTATGAGTGATTGACTTTTTTTGATATTTAGATTATGAAAGCGGTGCATGATCTCGAACTTAGCAGAAGATTTGCGTGGTTGGCCAGTGACAATTGGGGTACTAAAAGAACTCCCA